CAAGCCCAAGAGTCCGGTTCGGGCTCGTCGAACCAAGATGACAAGCTAGACAAAACCCTTCAGTTCATCACCAACTAGGACTCATCTATTAAGCGTCTCGAGACGCAAGTGGGTCAGCTTGCCACAAGAGTCGGGAACATGGAGGCTGAGTCAGACAAGGGGAAACTTCCGAGCCAGCCCGAGCAAGCAAAGGCGATCACTGTGTTGAGGAGCGGGAAGGAAGTGGACAACAAGGTGAGAATGCCCGAGCCTGACGGCCCCAAACCAGCCGACCAGCCCAAAGAAATCGAGGAGAGTACGAAGAGCACAGAAAACGACTCGGGAAAACCAACAGAGAGTCCTTTGCTTCACAAGTCTCCAAATCCTTACAAGCCACGCATTCCTTTTCCGAGTAGACTCCGAGACGAGAAGCAAGAGAAACAGTTCCGAGATCTCTACAACATGCTCTCAAAGGTCAATGTCAATTTACCTCTCCTGGACGTGATCAAGAATATGCCTTCTTACGTGAAGTTCTTCAAGGATTTGGTCACGAAGAAGAGAAAGTTCGGGGATGGGGAGAAAGTGGTGGTTTATGAGGCAGCGAGTGCCATGCAGCATGATCTTCCAAAGAAAGAACGGGACCCCGGGGGTTTCGTGATACGAATTGCTCTCGGGAACAGAGAAGAAGCTTCGGGGATGCTTGACCTCAGAGCGGGAATCAACTTCATGCCATTCTCTATCTTCCAGAGGCTTGGTCTCGGAGACTTGAGACCCACTAGGATGTGCTTACAGCTGGCCGACCGTTCGATTTGATACCCTAAGGGTGTGGTGGAAGATGTCCTTGTTCGTATAGGGAGACTTATTGTCCCGGTGGACTTCGTGGTTCTAGACGTGGAGGACGTTCAGGAGAATGGGAAGGATCACACCATCCTTCTTGGTAGACCGTTTATGGCAACCACCAACACCCTTATTGACGTGAAGAACAGGACCTTGAACATGACTGTCTTAGGCAAATCCGTATCTATCTCAGTCCGAGAAGCCACCTCAGCACCTTCAGTTAACTTCGTGGAGGAGTGTGCATTTGTTGACGTAAGCGATCCGTTTGTCGAGGAAATGACCATTCGAGACTTAGAGGAGAGGACAATGCCCGATCTTGAAGAAGAAGAAGAGCCCACCATTGAGCTCTTTGTAGCAGACGAGCCCGACAAACCGAACCCATCCACACTAGAGCTCAAAGAACTACCTCGTCACATCAAATATGTGTTCCTCGACGATGAGAAGCAAAAGCCGGTCATCATCTTTGCTGAGCTTAATCGGGAAGAGGAGAAGGAGCTGATTGAGGTACTTAAGAGGAACCAGAAGGCCATTGGTTTGAGCCTATGAGACATTAAGGGCATCAGCCCTTCCACATGCATGCACCGGATTATTCTGGAGGAGTGTGCTAAGCCTTTTCGGGACAGCCAACGGAGGCTCAACCCGAATATGATGGAAGTGGTAAAGAAGGAAGTGCTGAAGCTCTATTCCGAAGGGCTTGTCTATCCAGTGGCCGACAGCGAGTGGGTGAGTCCCATTCATGTGGTGCCCAAGAAGGGAGGCATTACGGTGATTGAGAATGAGAGAAAGGAGATGGTTCCCACCCGCATTACCACCGGGTGGAGGATGTGCATTGACTACAGGCGACTCAACGCCGTGACCAAGAAGGACCATTTCCCGCTGCCGTTTATTGATCAAATTCTCGACCGACTCTCCGGCCACCAGTTCTATTGCTTCCTCGATGGACTCTCGGGCTACTATCAAGTGGCCATAGCTCCGGAGGATCAGCCCAACACAAACTTCACGTGCCCGTTCGGCACATTCGCCTTCAGACGTATGCCCTTCGGCCTGTGCAATGCACCCGGA